GACCTTGAGCAACGTCGTAATTCAGTCGAAGGGAAGCCCCTTCCCTTTGATCCCTCCCCCGCCGGGAGGGGAGGGGGGTAGCGACCCCCCCCCCGGGTCAGATACGACGCCCCCCCCCCGTACCGACCTTGAGCAACGTCGTAATTCAGTCGAAGGGAAGCCCCTTCCCTTTCCCTCCCCCGCCGGGGCCACCAAAGCCGCCCCGATGACCCAAGATGCCTCGAGGACGCCCTAACAGCCACCGTAAAGCCCCAAGAGCGCTCGAAGAGGGCCCCCAAGACAGCCCCAGGACGGCAGCTGCAGAGGCGACACCACCACCAGAAACACCATCACCATCGCCAGCAGCAACCGAACCACCAGCAGCACCAGCGACACCAGCAGCAACAGCAGCAGCAAGACAAGCACCAAGACCAGCCGCCGCACCACCACCGGCCGAATAGCACGACCACCAGCTAAAGTACACCTCCCTCCCCCACCTCCTCCTCCTTCCCCCCTCCCCCCTCACACTCGTACGGACCATGTCTCTTGCTGTTCATAGCGATCAGGGTCGGCGGCACCGGCCGTAAGGCCTTCGCAATATCCTTCGACTGGTATTTCAAGGTACCACGCAATGGATACTGCAGCCCACAAAGCAAGGCACATAAGATAATGGGACTGGGAGTCGACAGCGTCCGCGCAGCCGAATTTGCACGGCACACCAGTTTGCGCCATCCTCCTCTCTGTCGCCCACCCGCCCACCACAGTTTTTAGTATCGATGCCTGTCATGCTGGTGGGAGCTCGACCAACGCGTCTCTCATCGCGGGCCAGCCGCATCCCGCTAAAGCTCGCTTCGAGGGTGGACGGGGCGCCCACTTCACCAGGCGCTTGAAAATCGTGGGGGGCAGATTTACCTGAAACAACGAGCTAGCCAACGAGCGGGCCAGCGTCTTTTGAACAGGGGGCCGCGGGCTATCCGACTGCGCTCCCTTCAAAGCTTTGAGCGCTGTCGCCATCGGAGCCCGCAAGCGGGCAGCGCCTGGAAAACCCGAGGCAGCCTCAGCGAGCACTTGGGCAATCGGCACACTCTTCCAGAAGGTCGGACACCACGATCCTCCGAGGTACTGGGTCACGGGGAGAGCACGCTCTGCCGCAGTCCGAATTTTCGCCCACAAGTGCTTCCAATTGGTGGCAGTTACGCGGGCAGATCTGACTAGGGCAGCATCGCACTGGACACGAAGCGACAGGGGCCTGAGCTCACTCCACTGTCTGAGGGCCAGCAGCTGGTCGAGAGGCAGAGAGAAAAGGGGGCAGCCTCCGAACCGTATGGAGAGCCCAGGATTCCCACTTTAAAATAGGTTCAGGAATCGGTGGCAGCTGAGCCGGATATCCAAAACTTCGATACAGCACGACTGTTGTACATGGCAATCATGATCGACGGCGGAGCTGCGGTCTCTGCGAGGCTACGAATGGCCCCCACCCACTCCCGAAACGCCCTGGCCCACACCTCCTCTTTCGCCTCGGGGCCGAGCCACGCACCTAGGTACCCCGCGCACCCCGCAACGGGGATGCCGCACCAACGCGGGGCGATCCCCTCAATGGCAGCCGCGACCTGG